ACTCACTGTTTCAATAAACACGAGCTGACCTCATTGTCGCACGCGCGACGAGACCAGATTTGTGCAAAGCACAGCGAACGAACGGCGTTTTGCCCTGTTCTCCCCCTGCGCGAGCGAGGGGGCGAATAACGGCCACCGAGGTCGCCTTTAGACGAGTGTCGCACCACTTGGCTTTCCAACCCGACACCGAGAGCTAAAAAATGGTATATGGCACCTAATCTTCGATCATTAATATGACGCTCGCACAGCCACGGTTAATATGCTGCTGACGTTTTAGAAACTAGGTGCCAAAACTTGAGCAGTCTTCTAACTGACCGAACGACGGTTTTCCTTGTGGTCTGGTGCTGTCAAGGCAATTCGTCACCGCCCAGCATTGGAACGTTCATATCATCGTGCACAACTGCTTTAATGTTCAATGTCGACAAGAAGCAGTCAGTCGGAGCGCCAAACCCAGTTCTGGCAACAGTAGTAAAACAAAAAATCTTATGACAGAAGGTCAAACGATTTGCTCGCCTCAGGCGATGTTCTACCGTCACGCATGTATCGGCTTACTCAAATGTCGGTGCATTTCATTTCTTTCTAATATTACGCAGCGGGCTAGGTAGTGTGGTGAAAAGTTTCAGGTAGGATTATGACTGTGCCAGAAACAAGTATCACTGCAGGGTAACTCGAAAGTTTCCACAAAAGTATTCTCTAGCCGCAGCACATATGATGTGCCGCTCAATGAACGAATTTCGAAAACTAAAAAGTATAGAGATGAATATGGCAAAAGTAACAGAACACAGCCTATGAAAGACTGATTTTTGTGGCATCGCAACCGAAAACAGACGAGAGAAAACCAAATTTCAGAGTCGAAGCAGAAAACAGATAATTAGCTGCTTCATGGAACAAGCAGTTAATAAAAAATTTCTCACCTTTAGATGAGAATCCTGCTTCTCCAGACTGACAGATCACAGCTGCGGTGGTCTGGGCACGTCTTGCGAACGCTTCCAAAAAGGAAGATGAAACAACTGCAGTCAGCTCAACCGATCAGTCGAAGCGCCCGATTACGGCCAAGAATGACCTGGGACAAGTGTCTCGACGGACTCTGCTTATTTTCTGCCAAGGCTCAGATGCTGGCACATGATCCAGAACGCCTGAAAACTATCTTACACTGCTGCCTCCGCGACCTGAAGGGAGAAGAACCATCGAAACTGACTGACGGCCTGGAAAATTCACGCCACGCCTGGATTCACAACCGCATTGCTAAAATGCAAAGCGGAACGACTACGTCTGCCCCAACACCCTTATATTACTTGACGCAAGGAAACGTCAGCGACTGCTAATCACTGCAATCGGTCAATGCCAGATGATCCACACCGTATACTATAACATATTCAAAGAAAATTTGCATGATACAGAAGAAATGTACTGATTTCATCCATCGCTTAATTTAATATGCATATTTACAACAGCCTGTTACTGAATATCTCCGAAATGCGTCTGCATTTTACTGTGCATATTGCTGACGTCTGAATCATTCTTGATTCGCTGCCGAGGTACGTTGTCATTCTGCTCTGACTATGAGTCAAGGACTACTAGAAACGTCGGTAGCGTGTAAAATGGAATGCGTACGCAAATCCATTTCGTATGAATTGTGAAGGCCATCGATTTAAGCTCCAACAAAAAAGAATCCTCCACAGTATCCAGACATATTTTTGCGTCGTGCGATGGGAATCTCTAGAGCCAAGCAAATTGCCAGTTAAGTTAGTGGTCTTTTACACATTGTCGCTGTTCGTTTCTCTCCCATGAGAGGAGCCAATTATGGCTTCTTTCTTGCGACCAGAAGGTCAGCCTGACCTAAGAAGGACAAAATAAAAATAAATTCACGTTTGGAAACATGCTCCTTCTACGATGCTGTAGTCACTCTGTTATTATGAATGAGTTGAAAGTTTGCAAATGCAGTGGAGATCACTACGGATATAGGCACTGCTAATCGGAACCACTCAAGGTAATGATCATCACGAACAACATAACCGTTCTTTCCAGCATCTTATTCAGAATTCTTCCAACCCAATTCACTTCTTTAGTAGAATGAAACGTGATGGGATTAAAACCCGGATTCATTCGACTTGTGGCACGGAATCGACTAGCTGCTGGACAGAGGAATCTCGTTCGGTCACTTGGTTAAAGCAACGTCAGATGCAGCGGAAAGCGTCCACCGATTAAGGATAATAGCATTTCGCGCAGAAACGCGTGTGAGCTGTGAAATAAACCAGGATTACGAATAAGCAGTCATGACATGCGGCGGTAACGTTACTAGAGCGGGGAGATTAAATCTGATTTTAAATTTAACGGTAACAAACTGATGACAGTATCGTTAATGACAGCAGTGAATTTACACACTTCCCAAACCAATGTAGCCATAGTCGTAGCATAGCTTGTCCGTCAAATCGACGCTAACCTCACATAAAGCTGTTATCGCGTTTCTGGTCTTCTGGATCATTCCTCGAACAGAAAATTTTGGATGTGCTTCTATCGGGCAGTTCACATATTAATTAAAAACCATTTTTGAATAGTCTGAAAGAGCTGAACGCCAAAAGCTGTCTAATTTTTTTCTGGGCTACGTGACTTCAATTTGATAAGCTCTCTGTGGACACTTTAAACGGAGTTACAGAAAATTTGGTCTTACATATCCTTAAACGAATCTCGTATGAAGTAGCCGTTCATCCTATTCTGCTTGAAATTGGCATTTTTAAAATGTTCATTCATTTTATCATCATCCTTAACCACACAGCAGAGCTGCAGCCTGTTTAAAATTTGCGACGTTCGCTACAAATTCACACTTCTACTCTAAAAACCATTCTGTTACGAACGACTTAAAAATTAACCCAAACTTACGCTTACTAGCAAACTTTCTTATTAATTTTCTTAATTATGATTCTTATTAATGACGCTAGCCAGTATCAATCAC